TAGTTCAGTGCCTCCTGTCTATCCCCTTTCTTGTATATCGGGACTACGTTAGCTGCTTTCCAAATATCTGGCAGTTCCCCTGTTGCCAGTGATTTGTTATACACTATGGAGAGTGGTAGGCTCAGTTCTCTTGCTCCTTCCTTTAGAACCCAAGGGGAGATTCCATCTGGGCCTATAGCCTTCGTCACGTCCAACTCTAGTAAACACTTGGCTTATTAGGCAAATCGGGCCTTGCATAGTAGGCTCAGAAGTGAGTTCTGGCTAATAGGTACGACATATATATATATATATATATATATATATATATATATATATATATACATATATATATATATATATATATATATATATATATACATATATATACATATATATATATATATATATATATATATATATATACATATATATATATATACATATATATATATATATATATATATATATATATATATATATATATATATATATATACATATATATATATATATATATATATATATATATATATATATATATATATATATATATATATATATATATATATATATATATATATATATATATATATATATATATATATATATATATATATATATATATATATATGTGTGTGTGTGTGTGTGCTCACCTAATTGCTCACCTAATTGTGCTTGCGGGGGTTGAGCTCTGGCTCTTTGGTCCCGCCTCTCAACCGTCAATCAACTGGTGTACAGATTCCTGAGCCTATTGGGCTCTATCATATCTACATTTGAAACTGTGAATGGAGTCAGCCTCCACCACATCACTTCCTAATGCATTCCATTTGCTAACTACTCTGACACTGAAAAAGTTCTTTCTAACGTCTCTGTGGCTCATTTGGGTACTCAGCTTCCACCTGTGTCCCCTTGTTCGCGTCCCACCAGTGTTGAAAAGTTCATCCTTGTTTACCCGGTCGATTCCCCTGAGGATTTTGTAGGTTGTGATCATGTCCCCCCTTACTCTTCTGTCTTCCAGTGTCGTGAGGTGCATTTCCCGTAGCCTTTCCTCATAACTCATGCCTCTTAGTTCTGGGACTAGTCTAGTAGCATACCTTTGGACTTTTTCCAGCTTCGTCTTGTGCTTGACCAGGTACGGGCTCCATGCTGGGGCCGCATACTCCAGGATTGGTCTTACATATGTGGTGTACAAGATTCTGAATGATTCCTTACACAGGTTCCTGAACGCCGTTCTGATGTTAGCCAGCCTCGCATATGCCGCAGACGTTATTCTCTTTATGTGGGCTTCAGGAGACAGGTTTGGTGTGATATCAACTCCTAGATCTTTCTCTCTGTCTGTTTCATTAAGTACTTCATCTCCTATTCTGTATCCTGTGCCTGGCCTCCTGTTTCCACTGCCTAGTTTCATTACTTTGCATTTACTCGGGTTGAACTTCAACAGCCATTTGTTGGACCATTCACTCAGTCTATCCAGGTCATCTTGTAGCCTCCTACTATCATCCTCTGTTTCAATCCTCCTCATAATTTTTGCATCGTCGGCAAACATTGAGAGGAACGAATCTATACCCTCTGGGAGATCATTTACATATACCAGAAACAGTATAGGTCCAAGGACTGACCCCTGCGGGACTCCACTTGTGACGTCTCGCCAATCTGAGACCTCACCCCTCACACAGACTCGTTGTCTCCTGTTGCTTAGGTATTCCTCTATCCACCGGAGTACCTTCCCTCTCACTCCAGCCTGCATCTCCAACTTTCGCACTAGCCTCTTGTGTGGCACTGTATCAAAGGCTTTCTGACAATCCAAAATATGCAGTCTGCCCACCCTTCTCTTTCTTGCCTTATTTTTGTTGCCTGGTCGTAGAATTCAAGTAACCCTGTGAGGCAGGACCTGCCATCCCTGAACCCATGTTGATGCTGTGTTACAAAGTTCCTTCGCTCCAGATGCTCCACTAGTTTTTTTCGCACAATCTTCTCCATCAGCTTGCATGGTATGCAGGTTAGGGACACTGGCCTGTAGTTCAGTGCCTCCTGTCTATCCCCTTTCTTGTATATCGGGACTACGTTAGCTGCTTTCCAAATATCTGGCAGTTCCCCTGTTGCCAGTGATTTGTTATACACTATGGAGAGTGGTAGGCTCAGTTCTCTTGCTCCTTCCTTTAGAACCCAAGGGGAGATTCCATCTGGGCCTATAGCCTTCGTCACGTCCAACTCTAGTAAACACTTCCTTACTTCCCCACTGGTAATCTCAAACTCTTCCAGTGGTTCCTGGTTAGCTATTCCCTCACTTACCTCTGGAATTTCTCCTTGTTCTAAGGTGAAGACCTCCTGGAATTTCTTATTCAATTCCTCACACACTTCCTTGTCATTTGTAGTGAATCCTTCCGCCCCTATCCTTAATCTCATAACCTGTTCCTTTACTGTTGTTTTTCTCCTAATGTGGCTATGCAACAATTTAGGCTGAGTCTTTGCCTTGCTTGCGATGTCATTTTCGTATTGTCTTTCTGCCTCTCTTCTCATCCTGACATATTCATTCCTGGCATTCTGGTATCTTTCTCTGCTCTCCAGTGTCCTGTTATTCCTATAGTTTCTCCATGCCCTTTTACTTTGCTGCTTAGCTAGCCTACATCTTTGATTAAACCATGGGTTTCTCATCTTCATTTCTCTGTTTTCCTTTTGGACTGGGACAAACTTGTTTGCTGCGTCCTTGCACTTCTGCGTGATGTAATCCATCATATCTTGGGCCGTCTTTCCCCTGAGCTCTGTTTCCCATGCTATATCTGTTAGGAATTTTCTTATCCCCTCATAGTTTCCCTTTCGGTATGCTAACCTTTTGGTTTCGGTATCCCTCCTCGAGTTCAATAACCCTTCTTCAATCAAGTACTCAAACACCAGTACACTGTGGTCGCTCATTCCTACTGGGTCCTCAAAACCGATTTCTCTTATGTCGGAGTCGTTCAGAGTGAAGACTAGGTCGAGTCTCGCTGGTTCGTCATTGCCTCTCATCCTTGTGGGTTCTCCGACATGCTGCGTTAAAAAGTTGCTTGTCACCACCTCCAATAGTTTGGCTCTCCACGTATCCTCGCCTCCATGCGGTTCCTTGTTCTCCCAGTCAATCTTTCCGTGATTGAAGTCGCCCATGATGAGCAGGTGGGATCTATTTCTACAGGCAGCAGAGGCTGCCCTCTCAATTATAGTGTTAACTGCCTTGTTGTTGTTTTCATACTCTTGACTGGGTCTCCTGTCATTTGGTGGAGGGTTGTATATTACTGCTACTACTATTCTTGGTCCTCCCATTGTTATGGTGCCTGCTATGTAGTCTCTGAACTCCTCACAGCCCGGGATGGCCATCTCCTTAAAACTCCATTCCCTTCTCATGAGTAGGGCCACTCCGCCTCCTCCTCTACCTTCCCTCTCTTTCCTTATTACTGTATACTCCTGGGGAAACACGGCATTCGTTATGATTCCAGAGAGTTTGTGTGTGTGTGTGTGTGTGTGTGTGTGTGTGTGTGTGTGTGTGTGTACTGTAGTGTAGAGGAGCTGGACCTGTGGGAACAGCCAGGAATTGTTGTAGTGTATATATACCATATATAACTGTAACACAACAGGTCTCAGGTATATACACCTGTCTTTTAGCCAGATTGACATGTCTCCAGGCATATATTTAAGCCGATTTGCGCATGACTGCTGCTGATGTTATGACGAGGGCGGTGATAACGGTGATTGTATAAGGATAACAAGTACTGATAAGGATGACGATACGAATACTGAGAAGATGATGGAGTGGTGACTCAGAGTACTGAGGTACCTGTAATCATCCTCCTCCTCCTCTACACCTGTATTCCTCCCCCTCCACATCTGTAGCACTCTCCTCCACTGTGTCCCCACCCACACCTGTGGCCTTCTACCTACACCTGTGCTCCTTTATACCTCCACACCACATCTGTGGCCTTCTCGCCCGGGCGCCGGCGAGAAACAATGGGCAGAGTTTCTTTCACCCTATGCCCCTGTTACCTATCAGTAAAATAGATACCTGGGTGTTAGTCAGCTGTCACGGGCTGCTTCCTGGGGGTGGAGGCCTGGTCGAGGACCGGGCCGCGGGGACACTAAAGCCCCGAAATCATCTCAAGATAACCTACCTACACCTGAAATCCTCCCTCACGGAGGCACTTACACACCTTTCCATCCCCCAACACCTTTAAATCTCGAATGCCATCCCCCCACAGCTAAAACGTCCCCTCCCCCCACCCTACACCTGCAGGTCGACCCCCGCCCTCCCCCCCAACCCCACAAGTCATATGTTCAGGCGTGCGAGACTCGCTAAATGTGTTTCAAGTCTCATTACATTACAGCTGTCCGAGATTAATGGCCTGCGAGTATTATTACTCATTCGCGAGGCATATTACAGGCGTGTTTCTCTGATCGCTTGCGTCCGAGTCTTAGTATGTGCGTGTGTATGTCTTATTGTTAGGGCGAGTATTAGTAAAGGCAAGCGAGCCTCATAGCCGGCGTTAGTCTTAACATACATGTAAGACTGCTTTTAGACATCCCGAGGCTTTTTATAGGTACAGAAATATTATTATGGGTCTTATTACATGTGTGTGTGTGCGACTAGTACATATGTGTAAGTTTTATTGCACGTACACGTGTCTTATTACATGGGTGTGAGTCTTATTACATGGGTGTGAGCCTTATTGCATGAGTGTGAGCCTTATTACAGGGGTGCGAGTCTTATTACAGTGGGTCTGGATCTTGTTACAGGCATGCAATTACCTAGGTGTAATTATATGACTGTAAAAAGACTCACATTACAGTCTGTGATGTGAGTCACACATTACAGGCATGTGAGTCACATATTACAGGCATGGGAGTCACATTACAGATGTGTGAGTTTTATTATAAGTGTGTGAGTTTTATTACAGAAATGTGAGTATTATTACAGGAGTGTGGGTTTTATTACACGGATGTCAATCTTATTACACGGATGTATCGTATTACAGTGGTGTTAGTCTTATTATTGGCGTGTGTGTTGTTACATGTTTATGTTATATTTCAAGCGCGGGTTTGGTTCCTAGTATAGGCTTCTGTGCAGGTGTGGGCACAGGTGCTGCTCTGTGTGGGAGGCCGATGACTCTGGTGACCTGGCGGTGACATGGACGCTAAGCCAACCTCTGCTGTATCTTACTGAAATTGAAATTGAAATAAGTTTATTGAGGTAAAATACACAGAAAGGGATGAGGTAGCTTAAGCTATTCTCACCCCGTTCAGTACATCGTGTTAATACATACATAGACACACATCACAAGCAATAAACATATTACCGAACATTCTGAGAGATAAACATATACATTTGTAAAGTCGTGTTGGTGTTGAATCGTTCCCAGATGGCGCTCTGTAAGCATTTCCTGGTGGGTGGTGATCTTGTCCCACTGCGCCGTGGCTCATATCCTGCAAGCCTACTTCCTGATTACTCTGGCGCCACATTTCCGGAAGGTATGAAAAGTTTTTAGATTAAAACTTTCCGCTTGACGTCATGACGGCACCTCTCCTCCATACAATGAGCTTGGAGAACTAAGGGTGGCAGGAAGTGGGACTGTGAATATTTCCTTGTAAACTACTTGCTAATGTTTCATGTCATTAAGCTAGTTAGACACAAGAATATCTGCTGACGACACTCGTGGGTTGGCTGGCGAGGTCAAATGGCAACAGTGAGAAAAAAAACTGATTGCCTTTCTCCCGCTTTGTCTTGTCGTTGTGTCTTGGAAAATATACTATGCGACTATTTTCTGTATAACAAGCCGTTTATGGGTCGCACATTCAAAGATAACACAGCTTGAACAATTTTCAAGGAAATTAAGCAATTATTAAAAGAAATGTGCTAAGCCAGTAAGGACATTTACGGAGTTTCTCGAGTTAAGGTGACTAGAGAAAATATATATATTTTCTTAATTACATAATATGTTTTATCATTAAATTGGCGGCTACGTCTGTCGGTGTCTGAGTTCGCTTTAGCCTTGCCTTTCATTTAATATCAATGCGTGCTGTAAAAATGATTTACTTATCAGTGAAAGAAATTAGTTATTTGCAGATGCAAACGTAACATTGATATCCACCTGTGTAAATGAAAGGGGAATCTGTATTTGTAAATATCATTTGGGTTTGTGATTTGTTACATTCAATCATTTACCGCTCTTCATGTTAGTAATCTCACCGTTATGAATGAGATCAGTGTTATGTTATTCGTGAGACTTCATTAATTGCTTTATATTTCGTTTGTTGCAAGGTGTATATTTGTCAACATGGAGTCTTGGCGAGGCTCCCAGAGTTTACAAGTCCTTTGTAAGCTTATAAGCTTACAGGCCCCTAGGCTGTTTTTCTCTGTGCCAGCGTGAAAGGCAATCACTGCCTGCCCATATTGTTGGTAGCGGCACCTTAGGCTTACCTTCTCAGTATACGGACACTATGAAATATTATAAAATATACATCTCCCAACTCCTCCTCCCTTCCTCCCACACTTTATATGTACATATATTGCACCGTATGGATAGAGAAAAGGGTGGGTAAGTTACGAGAGCGAGTTGTGTGTATGAGTGGGTAATTGAGCAATTATACCACTCCCTAACACTGGGCAGTGGAGTGAGAAGGGGGGTTAGGAGTGTTGCTGTGAGGGGTGGATGTGCAGCCTCTTACGATTTGCCACACGTCGAATGTGACACGGTATTTCTGTCTTGTGGTACCACATCTTTGCCATTAGACGTAATTATTCTTTGGAAGAGTATAGAAGAGAGAACATAGGTGATGGTGCCTAGTTTGTGTTCATCTTTGTTACTTATGAGCTAGCCAACTTGGTGATAAACTCTTGGGATGTCATCAAGCCAAGTATCGGATTTGTGTGGTTTGTAAGTACAGGTAGTCTTGTTTAAACGACAATATGGGTTCGTAAAAGGTACGCTCCCCATTATCAGTATAAGATCGGTTTTATGATCACGTGTAAGTGTTGAAAGTTTAAGATACATGTAAACCAAGATAAGTCATTGAACGTTATTATACATTTCATTAATACAGACATAACTATTTTAATGATTTCATAATAAATTAGCATCAAAATATCTTCCCGCTAACAATATTTTATTTTCCACAAGTAGGCTTAGCAGTGTTTGGACTAATTTAATGTTTTTCTTTTCAGACAGCGAGTGGCTGAGGCAGTCTATCCGGAGATTATATTGTGCCGACAAGGTTCTCATAAATACGTCTTGTGAAATTAGTGGAGATGATTTAAGTAGACAACGTGCTGTAAAAACGCACCTTGCTCACTTGGTGGAGTTGTGTTGTGCTGGAGATAAAAAGGCATTGGTATTGGTAGAAAATTAGCTAATGGTAGAAAAATTCTGTGCAGCAATCGTGAAGCATCACCAGTCGTGAATATGTGACGTCAAGAAAGGATGGTCTGCAACGTGTTGAAACAAAAGTATCACTGTTGGTTGATTCATACGGTGTTAAGTTGGTCAGATCGAGACCCATACAATGTTAGCGAGTAGCGGTATGGAGGAGTGTTGGGGAGAGTGAGGTGCGGGAGTGTTGGGGTAAGATGCTGGTGCACTTGTTCTTGTAGCGATGGTGAGTAGAGTGTTGGGGGCGGGAGTGACACCGCTCTTGTTCGTGTTGCTGTTGTTAGTGGTGGAGAGAAGAGTTGAGGGTCAGGGTGTGGAAGGGGTAGTCCCCAGGGAGGAGGACTACCCGGCCCTTGGACTGGACTATCCTGGCGAGGCGGTGGACTACCCGGGCCATCCGGAAGACTTGGGCGCAGATGGCTACTACACCAGTCCAGCCTACATTTTTATGCCAGACTTATCCAATACGACGATACGGAAGTGTCAATGTGAAGGAGACGAGGTTTGGGGGGGAGGCGCTTGCCACCCGTACCAAACCATCGTGGCAGTATTTGACCCCCACAGTGGGCAGCGGGTGGTGGCCAACACTAGCTCCTTCGGCAGGGTGAAGGTGGGCCAAGTGAGGTGCCCACACCCACGCAGCCTCGTTCTCCTTGACTCTAATCGTCACATCGAGTACATTTTCTCCATACTCGAGTCCGGGGACCTCCACTGGCGGGAAGAGACCTTCTCTGACTATTGCGTCGATCATACTTACGATCCACACGGACAGCCTACCTCCTGGGAGGCACACGTGTGCCTCCTGCCGCCTTCCGTGCCCCAGTGCTGCCCCCTCAACTTTACTTTCCATGTGGATGATGGGTGTGTGCCTCAGGCGGGCGTGGCATGGGCGCCACCTGTGCTGGTGGAAGGACAAGCCGTGGAGTGGCCGCAGGTGGAGGGCGACGTGGTCAACATCACCTGTGACTCACACTCGGAGACTCGGTATGTAAAGCTGGGCGGTACGGAGGGTGGCCTGGTCTACACCCCCCAGGGCGCGCAGCTGCTCTGGACACCACCTGCAGAGCGCGCCAAGCTTGAAACTCTTCCCGAGTACTGCGTGGGCAATGAGGCGGGCACGGCATCCCAGTACGTGGCTAAGGTATGTTACAAGGACCACGCTGCTGCCCACCGCGAAGCCTGCACCAATACCACGTGCATCCGCAAGTGCTGTCCTGAAGGCACGTTCTTTTACGGCAAGTGTGAGCATGTGATAGAGAAGAACGAACTGTGGCAGCCAGAGTTTTTCCACCCTGACACGTTGTCGCCCGCGGCCACGCCCCCACATCCCCTCACGGTTGTCTCCGGCTTCCCTCTCTGCCCCACCTTCTTCCAGTTGGAGTCACACATAAACGAGAACGACAAGTTCTACCTGCTTACGAACGGATCCCTGCATGTGCCTATTTTCGCAAGGGTGTTCCCGTCAGACAAGTACTGCATCGACAATTTCTACATAGAAGGAAAAGGCGTTCATACGCTGCCTCTCGTCTGCTTCGAGGAGGACAGTGCCAGCACCAGCCTGTTCTGCCAGGCTGTGCAGTTGTACATCTACCCGGTACTTCTGGTGGTGTCGTGCGTGTTCTTGACCATCACGCTCCTCATCTACGTCAGCGTGCCGGAGCTGCACGCAAAGGTGCACGGCAAGTGTCTGGTGTCACACGTGTCCTCCCTCCTGCTGGCCTACGTCAGCCTCGTCACCGTCCAGTGGACAACCGAAATCATACCCCTCGCCGCCTGCAAAGTCATGGGTCAGTATCTTGTGCTCTCTCTCTCTCTCTCTCTCTCTCTCTCTCTCTCTCTCTCTCTCTCTCTCTCTCTCTCTCTCTCTCTCTCTCTCTCTCTCTCTCTCTCTCTCTCTTCTACTGTACTCTACTTCAAGCTCATGTGTCATTGTTTCGTTCCTGTTCCTTCTAGATCTATTCCTTACCATTCCATGGACAGTATCCCCTACTCTGTCACTCCTACCTTAGTACCTTCTCCTACATTGCCAAGGGCATTATAAATGTACCTCCTGTTCTCTCTCACTCCTACAATACCTTAAGCAGAACCTCTCGCTCTCTATCCTTTTCACTGTGTCACGTAATCTATAGTTCCACAAGATTAAGCTGGATGATATAGGAGATAGAATGCTATCTGGGATCCGTGAGTGGCTTACTGATAAGACACTGGTAGTAAGGTTGAGTGTGTAGCCTTTGTACAACCCTTTGTGTGTAAGTTATTGGGTCCAGAGTGAGTTTGTAGTCTTCAAACGCCTTAGAATAGTCATTGGCCGTGAGTGGCTTCACTGTGTGTTTTTCCAGCTTCGTCTTGTGCTTGACAAGGTACGGGCTCCATGCTGGGGCCGCATACTCCAGGATTGGTCTTACATATGTGGTGTACAAGATTCTGAATGATTCCTTACACAGGTTCCTGAACGCCGTTCTGATAAGACACTGGTAGTAAGGTGAGTGTGTAGCCTTTGTACAACCCTTTGTGTGTAAGTTATTGGGTCCAGAGTGAGTTTGTAGTCTTCAAACGCCTTAGAATAGTCAAACATTGGCATTAAAACGCAGTTACAATGAATAATATACAGTATACAGTGGGCAGTTCAGTACACACACACACACATACTGTGTGTGTGTGTGTGTGTGTGTGTACTGAACTGCCCACTGTATACTGTATATTATTTGAAGACTACATAAACTCACTCTGGACCCAATAACTTACACACAAAGGGTTGTACAAAGGCTACACACTCAACCTTACTACCAGTGTCTTATCAGTAAGCCACTCACGGATCCCAGATAGCATTCTATCTCCTATATCATCCAGCTTAATCTTGTGGAACTATAGATTACGTGACACAGTGAAAAGGATAGAGAGCGAGAGGTACTGCTTAAGGTATTGTAGGAGTGAGAGAGAACAGGAGGTACATTTATAATGCCCTTGGCAATGTAGGAGAAGGGCACACACAATATACACACAATGTAATGTGTGTGTGTATATATACACACACACATTATATACATATATATAAATTATATATATAATATATATAATATATATAGTATGTATGTATGTATGTGTATATATTCCCAAAATAAGATATAAGATGGTACAAGTGATATTTGAGAAGTCAGACAGTATGCTGTAGGCAGAGTCCTGAGTTGACTGCTGGGGCGAGGAGAGTATAGGTTTTACTGCCAGAAACGTTGCCGATCCAGTGAAACTTAACTTGGTTTAGTGTTGAACTCAAGGCCTGTGAACCACAGGAGGGTTATTAAAGCCGTGTCACAAGCTTACCGACCATCCAGCAAGTATTACTTAGTCCCGAACATAATTCAGGATAATATTCAACTCTGTATATACACCGATAAGCTGGGTACACCTCGGGTCATGTCCCTTCCCGCGACTGATGAAGATGAAGCCACCTCAAGAGGTGGGCATGAGTAGGTCTCCCGACTGAGAGAGAGAAGATTAAGCCACCCAAAAGGTGGCTTGGGCATGAATAGCCCATAAGTGGTGGCCCTTTTGAGCCATTTCCAGTATCAATAGATGATACTGGAGATCTGTGGAGGCGCAACTGCACCCTGCGTGACGGGAGATGTCTCCCGGACCAAATGGTGACCAAATGGTGAGGGAGGTCTCCCGACTGGCTGGCGGTGGCCTTATATTACCTAGGTGCGGATCAGTCCAGGGTCATGATCTGCCTGGTCACGACTGCCATCTTGTGCATCAAAGATGCAAGGGTGTCGGTCAGTCACTGGACTTGTATTTCCAGTTGCATCCAGCTGTGGCCTCGGGTGACAAGAGACGTTTTAACGTTGCTGTTAGCCTTGTAGTCTCTGCCGGTTTCCACCTGGTCGCAATTTCGAGGAATGTGGAGTGACAAGTGGTGTTCCTCAAGGCTCGGTTCTCGGCGCCAATTTTGATAATCCTTGTGCATGTCCGCGAAACAAGATCTAAACATTTGCTAATGACACACAAAAAACATATATACGAATGAATTTGGGTGGATAGAGCTGCCTCGTATTGGGCCAATAGGCTCTCTGGGCAGGTTCCTTTCATCTTATATTCATAAGATGAGCAAAGGCTGTATCTAAAGCAGTATAAATGTATAGAAGGGTAGGGACTTGTAGTGCTCGGAGACGGGAAATATGCTTCAAGGTAGATATAAAGTAGTGCACTGTAGTTACGGTAATGTTAAACGTGAATTGTGGTACTTGGAAAGTCCCTACCCAATATAAAAGAAGAGAAGGGGCTGGAAGCAGTTGTCTTCCTGCTCCAAACAACGTCTTGCTGCAAATAACAATAGTAATAGAATACTAGAGTTCCATTAGGGTCATATGTATTACTTTATCCACTCCCATGTTCTTGAGTGCATAATGCATCTAAAGTCTGCCAGTGGTGGCTACCTGTAGGATAAACCATCCTGCCAGATGGGTATTTTATTATCCTAATACAAACTTGGTAATCGTTCCAAGGCTGAGTAGCCGTATAAATGCGGATGTACCCAAGTATGTTAATGTTGTTGACCAGACCACACACTAGAAGGTGAAGGGACGACGACGTTTCGGTCCGTCCTGGACCATTCTCAATCGACTTGAGAATGGTCCAGGACGGACCGAAACGTCGTCGTCCCTTCAACTTCTAGTGTGTGGTCTGGTCAACATACTTCAGCCACGTTATTGTGACTCATCGCCAGCATGTTAATGTTAATACACAAACCATTATGGTTTCCCATTGACGGAGACAGGAAGCCTGTTAGGCTGATCAAGATTTCTCTCTAGCTCAGCAGCTGATCACGATGCAACCCGCAACAGTTGCCTAACTCCCGTGTATATAATTACAGCTAGGTGAACAGAGGCATCAGGTGGCCGGAAATTGAATTAGGATCCAGTGGGATGTGAGCCGCCTGCGTTGATCACGTATGGTACGGACCGTTCTCCAGCATCATCGTCAGTGCTGTCATAATGGCTTTATGTTGGCAATGTTTTCGTTATCACACCACGCCCTCTCCTGGCTTCGTGAGAATCTACTATCTGCTTTACATTAGATACAGAAAGAGATAACTTCCCAGCAGCTGGACACCCTCATAAATACTGTCAAGCTGTATCCTCCCCCGCGATAGCAGCCTGACGATTAAATGCGACCGCAGCACAATGTATACATTTACTAAGTAAAAAATCTACTACTTGCGGGCTATTCATGCCCGTGCCACCTCTTGGGTGGCATCAATCTTCATCAATCAATTAATTCATTCCTTAGACGACCTAGGAGCGCACAAAATGTTTCTCCTGAACGGACACGAGAGATCTCATAATCCATAAATGAAAGTTGCTGGAAAGTTAGGTCCCCAACCTTGCACAATAAAAAGCATTGCTGGAAGACCAACTCGTTCTCCAAAATAGTACATCGTATTTTAACATATAATTTCCCAAAGGCCAAAAATTGATGTATTAAAAATGGTAATAGCTCACGAAATCGACGTAATGTCCCGTTTTCTGTTCGTGGGTCTTCGGGTAGATTAAGTTCAGGCAATTTAGTACAACTGTTTCCTGACGGTGGGAACGCTGGAGAGAGCGGACTGGATAGGCTAGGAAAGAAATGCACACTAAGCCCAGTGAAGAGTAAGGGTGCCTTGAGCACAGTATTAGAGAACACTGAACACATCTGATGTTTACGAGGTCAACCATCCACCGGAAACGAGTGTTGCCGGAACAAATGTTGAGATCTTGAAGAGGTATTATAGTTTTATATAGATTATGAGTCCCCGCCCATCCTGTGGGCGGCGACGGAAAGGTTAGTCACTCAGTGAGTCTGGAAGGTCATATATTACTCACAGAATTTATACTTTATACACTTTGGTAATACTTAAAGTGATACATAATTTGTGATTAAATATCTGTTAATTATTTGGTCATAGAGATTTCTAAATCTGATTTTTTGTTGTTCACATTTAGTTGGTAAAGTATGCGTATAATTTTGCTGGCATACATACACCGAAGTATACCTTGTTTTTCGGTGTATATACAGAGTATATACTCCCAAGTCCTCCACAATGTTTAGGACTAAAGTATACTTGCTGATTGGTGTGTAAGCAAGTGTCAAACCTTAATAATCTTCCAGAAGATGATAGACCTTAAGTCAGGTTAATAAAACATACGAACCCAAGCCACCCACCTAACCCAACCACCCGATGCTTAAAAGAATAAAAAAAAACATATATTTTTGTGAGCAGCTGCTTTCCATAGCACGCTGCATTTGGTACGTTGGTTACCGGCCGAGGTCACGTCTGCCCTGACTCAAGACTATACGGTAACTGCCACGGGAAGCGCAGGGCCCGTCACACGCTCCCACAACCCCAGCTGGTCTGTCCTTGTCAACATCCTTCATACACATACCTCTCAGTCTAGTTGTACTGGGTTATCCCCCGTTTGCTCTGATCTTCCTACCTGGGATGTCCTTTGTTAGTTTACGCTGGTTTTCTTCCGTTAGTTTTACGCAGGTCTTCCTCAGTTTACGCTGGTCTTTCTCAGGCCGTCTACGGAGGTCTTCCTCAGTCTACGCTAGGCTTCCTTTTATTTATAGATTTTCCCTACATTAGCTCACGCTGATCTTCCTCTTCCATTTGTTTACACTTCTTTTCCCTGTTAGTTTACACCGGTCCTGTGTTTACACTGGACTTCCTTCGTTAATTTACGGTGGTCTTCCCGCGTGAGATTACTCTGGCAAGTGTGCCGAAGGAAAATAATTACCGCAGGTTAAAAACCACAACAAATTATAGCGTAGGAAGGTAAGACACGTCACGTAATCATCCCCCCAATGTGTTTCCCCGAGACCAAGACTTGAGTGAACCTAACCAGAACGAAAATTAGGCTACAAAGACTAATGCAGGAAGTGGCAGCGGAGGCGAACGCGACGCCGAGTAGGGAAGAAAAAATCCGCTGTGGAGGGGGGGAAAAAACACCACCAGGGAAGCCCCGCCCGCCAAGAGGTGTTTGCGGTGACGAATGATCAACACGGTTACTGAGACCGACCCAATTTAGCTTCTGTGTGTATGCTGGTTTGTGGAGATTTAACATTATATGCACATTCGAGTTAAGTGTAAATACAGTGGTGGTTTGGGTGTTGAGATCTTTTGTTGTGGAACAAGTGGTCGGCGAGGTATGTAAGGAGCCGCGCTGAGCTGGTAACTGTGTGACGCTCTGAGTTATCAGTCATACTTGTATCATCATCAGTCATTATCATCAACGTCACGGCAACACCATCATCATCAGTCATTATCAGCAGGACGACATAACCACCAGTCGTCACTGTCATCATCAGTCATCATTATCATGACACCACAATCAGAACCAGTCACTGTGACCATTATTATTATTATTAAGAATATCGTGACTGCTGTTACTATGGTTATTGGTGTTACTGCTGTTACTATCGCTGCTATTACTACTCTCAATACTAATTATGAAGCAATAATTAATACAATTAGAAGGTGAAGACTAACACTAGCGTGTTGTGTTCCCAACAGCGTCGGTGACTCACTTCAGCTTCATGGCGGCGTTCTTCTGGCTCAACGTTATGTGTTTCGACATCTGGTGGACCCTCAAGTGAGTACTACCTTTTGCACTTCGCTAGCTAGCCAACCCGTTGCTCTTCATTTGCCACTCTGTTAACAACCCAACCTCCTAACCTAAGCAGCGACACGCATTTGTTACGTTGGTTATTATAACGTAGAAAATGCGACCTTTTCGTTGAGCGAATGGGTTGAGCTAGTAGCCTCACACTCGCACTGTTTTATGGGATGAATGCTCAGTCAAATTATCTCTTTAACAGACAGTATCGTCTTCCTCATATGTAGCTGTGATTATGCATCGCGAAGACGCTCCTTATACATAATTATGTATTATGAGACAGCTGCTCAGCTAGTGCATAGTGGGGAGTGGGTGTGCGTGTAGGTACTGTGCAGGAGGAACTGGAGGTTAGGTAGGTGGTATTACCTGGAGTAATGTACACCCTGTTGGTGTTGGGTGTAGAACACAGGGTCCTGCTGTGTTGTACACAGACGGGTAGATGGGACTAGGAGTAATTGTGGAAGTGGTAGTCGAAGACAATAGTTGTTATGCTAGTGTGAATAATAGCATATTCCTGTTTCAATTCAATTCTGTTTCAATTCGTGGTCTGACACTGTCACATTTTTCATCACGTGTTAAATTTCGTGATTTACAAACATATATACAGGAGTAATATGGTTTTGACAATCGGAAAACGAGCTTTATCGAACCGTCTTGTGTACGATTTGACCCAACCCCCAATATCTGTTGTGCGGTCGTCAATAAACAATCTTATCCTATCACAAGTAATCGTGAGAAAAATATATCTTAATGTCTTGGATTTGTTTACATTAAAGCATAAATGTAATATATGTGAGAATAATTACGGGGGGCGTGTCGAAGGAGGCTCCCAGAGACAGGTGTAGCCTAGGCTTAGCCAGTGTTAGTGTATAAGACTGTTGATTAGTTTAGGACATGCGAAGTGTGACGAGATATTGTGATAATGGCGGTGGTGGTGACAGCGTTCGATGGGGAGGTTGTGATGACAGTGGCTTGTAACTACAGATAACAGAAGATAACTTGTTATAGACGGGTACCGTGTATTGATTAGATTAGTGATGTGTGTGTGTGTGTGATTACAGAATGAGAGCTAGGCTCGTGGTGTCCCGTCTTCTCAGTACTCTTTGTCGTATATCACTTTGAAACTGTTCTGGCATGAAATATTCTGGGACATATTTACACCCATTTCAAATCTTGACCCCTTCCAAGTGCTGTCTTGCTTGGCGCTTTCCCCCTGGAAATTCCATTCTATTCATGGCCTCCACACCTTCTCACTTAGCTTGTTCCAACCGTGTGTGTGTGTATTCACCTAGTTGTGTTTGCGGGGGTTGAGCTTTGCTCTTTCGGCCCACCTCTCAACAACTGTTTACTAACTACTTTTTTTTGTCCACACCACACACACACCCTAGGAAGCAGCCCGTGACAGCTGACTAACTCCCAGGTACCTATTTACTGCTAGGTAACAGGGGCATTCAGTGTGAAAGAAATTTTGCCCATTTGTTTCTGCCTGGTGCGGGAATCGAACCCGCGCCACAGAATTACGAGTCCTGCGCGCTATCCACCAGGCCCATCCCTGCGTGTGTGTGTGTGTGTGTGGGAGGGGGGAGGGGGGGGAGGGGTTGCGCGTATATGTGTATATACACATCCAAGTGCAGTTGTGCTTGTCAGTTTAGACTTCAGTTTCCGAGCCCCGCATTTTAAATTATCGGTAGTTTGATGCAGTGATTGGCGACCCTCGTATCTTCCCTTGTACTTGTTAAGGAATTCGTCTCCACTATTTTGTCATGTAATTCATTGAGGATCGAGAGGACTGTAACAACAAAGACGAGCTTCCTGCAGGCATGCCACCCTCACCTCTGGGATCACCGAGGTGTTTATTGTGCTCTCTGAAGGCCACTTTACACACGTTTCTAAAGGTCATCCTCATATGTGGCAGCTTCACATTAGCCCTTGTTAGGTTTGGTCCTTTGTTTAATCTCAGTCACTCTTGTCTCTCCCATGCTCTCTCGTTCTTCAGCTTCTTCGTTTGAACATCATGTTTTTGTTGAGAATCATGTTTTGCCGGATTAAGATTTTGTAGGCTATAGGTACTGTGAGGCTCTCATATTAATATTTTTACAAGAAAACAAAGTTAAAGACAAATTAACAGTTATTTTTACAAGGCTAACAATAATTCAGATTCAAACATGTGCTTTGCGTACTTTTTTGGAAACAGATTTCTCCAAAGCATCAGTAAGTTGTTAGTTATTGAGAACATGGTTTTCAGTCGTCATGAGAGCAAGTGTGTTTGGTCGTTCTTGTGCCACTGTCAGTGGTTCATCTTGGAGAAACTCCTCTCTCCAGGCGCACTAGTTATCATTAAACACAACATAGTGGTGTTTCAACACTAGGGAATGAAGAAGTTAAGCCATTGTTTACTACAAGGACGTAGATATCAAGAGCTTGTAGTGTTTCATGCTTGTGGCGGAATGCTGCAAATTGCCCAATAACTTCCTGAAGTGAAGAATTTCTGGCACACATTTAGGCTCGATGTCCTCCAAGTAAATATTCTGAAACTTGACTGTTGTTGTTGTTGAAATGTCTTCATCATTCATTGCTGGAAATTCCACCAGGAAACCAAGTAATTAATGAACATTTGATATGCTTCAATGCGATGAGAAAGAGCTGAAGATAACTTGTCTATGATCGGTAGATATATTTACACTTTTAAACTTAAAACTATAATATGCAAATTACAACTGTTCTACTGACGGAGACTCCGCAGGGGGCTGCATACTCCAGTACTGGTTTCACCGGGTTAGTGCACGACATTCTCAAGACCTCGATCATTGTCTAAGTTCCTGAATACTTTTCGTATTTTTGCCAAACTTGCATTATCAATTATGTTATTCTGTTAATATTGTCTCTTTATCTGTTCTTTGATCTTTTTTCTTATGTGATACAAGGAGCTGCCTTTTGCTTATCGCGGTGTGGCCTTGCCGCCCCCTCCCTCCTCTCCCCGTGCTCATAATGTGACACGGGACCATGTCTGAGACCATCACTGTAGTTCCTGCCGCTCATTATCACGTATTACACCCAGCTCCTCAGTTATTATTTTTTGTGTAACTTTGTCATCATCTGCCACCATCGAATTGTAGGATTCAGCTTATTCTGTTTAGTTGTTTCTGCGTGAGTGTGTAGTTACTCAAGTGTAGTTAATTACTGAATGAGAGCTACGCTCGTGGTGTCCCGTCTTCCCAGTACTCTTTGTCATACGACGGTTTGAAACTACTGACAGTTTTGGCTTCAACCACCTTCTCGCTTAATTTGTTCCAACCGTCTACCACTCTGTAAAAGTGAAGCTTCTAATTTTGGGATCACCTTTTGTCCTTAGTTTGAATTTATGACCTCTTGTTCTTGAGGTTGTCGGTTTCAGGAATTCCTCATTGTCGATTCCTATTATTATTTTGTAAGTAGTGATCATATAGCATATTTTTTTCGTGCGCGCGCTGGTGCGTGTGTGTATTTACTATTTGTATCTGCAGAATCGAGCTACTAGCTCTTGGACCCCGCCTTTCTAACCAATTTATCTTTCCTCTATTATTTCTACTACATGTATTTCTCACTAACACACACACACACATCCTCGGGAAGCAGCCCGTAGCAGCTGTCTAACTCCCAAGTACCTTTTTACTCCTAGGTGAACAGGCGCATCATGGTGAAAGAAACTCTGCCCATTTGTTTCCGCCATCGCCGGGATCGATCCCCGGTTCCTAGGATTACGAATCCCGAGCGCTGTCCATTCAGCCACCAGGCCCTCTAGGGTGTATGTGTTTAATGACTTCTTGCAGAGCATTCCACTTGTTAACCACCTGCATGGGGGGCGGGGGTTACCAGAGGTGAGGTGCCGGAGTGTTAGTGTTTTAGGAACTACTGGGAACAAAAAGTTGCAAGTAGCACGGGCTATGGTGAGCCCGTAGTGGACTTACCTGGCACAGGAGCTGGTCTGTATGCTGATTGATGAAGCTGTATGCTGTGTGAAGGTGGGGTTATATAAGTGGACTGGGCGGGGTTATTTTGAGGGTTGGGGAGGCTCCCCCTTATCTTATCTTGAGGTTGAACAGATTACGGGCTATTCATGCCCGTGCTACCTCTTGGGTGGCTTAATCTCTATCAATCAGTTGAATAGAGAGGAGAGTGAAGGTTATAGTAAAATATAGGGTTAGAGGCTAGAGTGAGGGCACGTGAGTGGTAAATGATGTAGAGTGAGAGGGTTCGGGGCTGGTGGCGTAAACGCTGTGTTAGTTTTTGATGGGAGGGGGAAAGGTTAGTAAGAGGTTTTCTGTGTGTTATCTTGAGGTTATCTTGAGATGATTTCGGGGTTTAGTGTCCCCGCGGCCCGGTCCTCGACCAGGCCTCCACCCCCAGGAAGCAGCCCGTGACAGCTGACTAACTCCCAGGTACCTATTTACTGCTAGGTAACAGGGGCATTCAGGGTGAAAGAAACTTTGCCCATTTGTTTCTGCCTCGTTCGGGAATCGAACCCGCGCCACAGAATTACGAGTCCTGCGCGCTATCCACCAGGCTACGAGGCCACTCTCTACGAGGCCTGTTGTTTTGCAGGCTAAGAGCTCTTCCTCCCTCCTTCCTCTTCCTCCTCTTCCTTCCTTCTTTCCTTCCTCTCATCTCACGTCTTGTCTTGTTTCTTTTACCCAGAATACAATTTGCTAATCGCTTCATATCTTGGTGTTCAATTGCTGCTGGGTGCACAGAGGTGAACAGAGAGGATTGGTCCCCAGGGGTTCTAGCTTGGCCAGGGTTTGAAACCCGGGTCTTTCCGTTTGCCGTGAGAGTGAGGTGAGGGTTCTAACTACTCCACCTCAAGCTGCAAATCAGTCTGTAGTCAATGATATTGATGCAGCCTAGCCCTTAGATACTTTGATGTAAAATGCTGAGGATGTGCAAATTTCTATTAATTCATGGTATAATTAGTTATATTCGATATCCTTCAAATTGTC